CACCTGCGGCGGGCACGGACGCGGCGGTGACGGGCACCGGGGGATGGGGTCACCTCCCCCGGAGCCCCGGGACCCCGCACTCACCCGCGGGGCCGCAGGCGCAGCAGGAGCCGCCGTCACCTTCCCGCAGCCCCCGGCCCCGGGGACAGCCGGGGCGGCGCGGGGGACAGTAGGGGACGCAGCGGACGGTGCCACCGGGCAGGCACTGGCACACCCGGCACGGGCCCCCGCGCCAGCGCTCGCCGGCCCCGCGCCAGCGGCCGCGCTCCCGGCAGCGGCGGCACGGCGCCGCGCGGCACCTGCGGGCGGGACGCTCAGCACCGGCGCTCCCCGGGCCCCCCGCCGCCCCCGGGCCCCGCTCACCGCCGGGCCTTGCGGTAGATGCCGCGGCAGGGCCGCCCCGCGCCGCGCCGCGCCGGGTCGGAGGGGCTGCGGAAGGACCACTGCACGCCGGGGGTCCCGCAGCCGCCCGCGCACGAGCCCCACGGCGACCACGACGACCACCCGCAGTCCACTGGGGGGGACACCGGGTCAGCCGGGACCCCCGCGCCCCGCGGCGGGACCGCCGGGCTCGGGGCAGCGCCGGGCGGCGCCGCGGGGGCGGCGGGCACCGGGAGCCCGCGGGCAGCGCCGCGCCCGGACCCACCTGAGCAGCCGGCGTGGGGGCGGCAGTGCCGCAGCCGCCCCTCGAGGCACGAGCAGAGGCGGCAACCGAGCGGCACCGGGGCGCCCGGCGGGTACCGGCGGCCCCCGGCCCCGCACGGGCACTGCGGCGGCCGCACGCACCGCGCCGGCCCCGCGCCCGCCTCGGGGGCGTCCAGCACCTGCCCCGCCGGGCACCAGCACCCTGCGGGGCGGGGGGCGGCTCAGGGGGTCCCCCTCACGTTGGGGCGCCCCCCCAAAGCCCCCCGTGCCCCCTCACCTGGGCGGCAGGGCGGGGGTCGCGGGCAGGGCACGGCGGCCGCCAGGTCGGCGCAGGAGGCGGGGCAGGGGGCGCAGGGGAGGGGGCGCAGCCCCTCCGCGCACTCCGAGGCGTTGGGGCAGCCCCCCGGGGCACAGGGGGCTGCGGGCAGGGGTCGGACACTGCCAACTGAGCCCCCCTGAGCCCCCCTGAGCCCCCCACCCCCCGGTCCCGGCAGGGCCCACCCGTCCCACAGAGCCCCTCACCCTGAGGAGACCCCCACCCGCCGAGCGCCCCCCACCCTGGGGCTCGTCTGCCCCTCGAATGGAACCCCCCGGGACCCCCCACCCCATCGGGCTCTGCCCCCAGACCCCTCCCGAGCCCCTCGCCCCATGGGCTCCCCTCGTCCCACGGGACCCCGCGCCCCCAGACCCCTCCCGAGCCCCCCGCACCCACCCATCTCCAGGGCTCCGGGGCTCCCCCCGCGCAGCTCCTCGCAGGCGCGGCCGCCGTTCTGGGGGGGCTGGCACCCCCTCCTGCGCAGCCGGAGCCCCCCGCAGCCCCCCGGGCAGTCGGACCAGGGTCCCCACGGGCCCCACGCGCCGTCCACTGCGGGGGGCGAGTTAAGGGCGCCTCAGAACCCCCAAACCCCCGGACTGTGGGGTCCCCGAAACCCCCCCGGGCAGCCTGAACCGCGGGGACCCCCAAATCCCTCAGGTACCCCATGAGACCCCCCAGCTCCCCCGCGGTCCCCCCCCACTTCCCTGGGCAGACGTGGCACTATCGGGGCTGCCCCTGCCTGCGCTGCCCCCGGCACCCCAACACCCCCGGCCCCCCCAGCCCCGGGACCCCGCGCTCACCGGGGCCCCCCCGACCCCCCCAGCCCCGGGACCCCGCGCTCACCGGGGCAGGCCCGGTGGAAGCAGGGTCTCTCCTGCTGGCGCGGCCCCCGGCAGCCCCGCAGCAGGCCGGGCTGGCGCTGGTGACATCCCCGGGCGCGGCGCTGCCCCCCGGGCCCGCAGGGGCGGCTGCAGGACCCCCAGGGCCCCCAGGGCCCCCAGAGGCCGCAGCCCCGCTCGTCCCCCGCCGAGGCGCAGTCCCGCAGCCCGTCACACACCTGCGGGACACCGCGGCGGCGGCGGCTGCGGCGGGACACGGCGGGGACACCGGCACGGAGCCGGGGGACGCTCAAGCGGCACTGACAGGGACTCTGGGACACCGGGGTGGCACCGGGAGGGGGTGACGGGAGTCAGGGACACCGGGAGGGGGGTCCAGGGGGCGTCGGGAGGGACCAGGGGACAGCGGGGATGGCACCGGGAGGGGTGGGGGACAGCTGGGTGTCCCTGGAAAGGGGTCGGGGACACGCCGGGGGTGGCAGCAGGAGGGATCGGGGACACCGCGGGGCTCCATGGCACACCGGGAGGGCGGGGACCGCGGTGGCCCGGGCGGGTGGCGGCGTCCCGCGGCCCCGTTACCTGATGGAAGGTGACACACTCCCCGTCCCCGCAGTCGAACTCTGCGCAGGGACCCCGCGGGCTGCTGCCGGGGCCGGGGGGCTCTGGGGGGGCAGGGGGGCTCTGAGGGGTTCCCAGGGCACAGAGGCGACTCGGGGGGTGCCGGGGTTGCGGTTGGGGGTACCCGCGGCCGAGCCCTCCCCGCTGGGATCCCCTCCCCGCTGTTTCCCGTTCCCTCCCCGGGGGGACCCCGGAGGTCGCCCCCCCCCCCAACCCCCGGGTCCCCAGGAGGCGAGGCGGGGGCACCCCCAGACCTCCCCCCGATGTCCCCAGAGGCGGATGCCGGGGGTCTCACCGCAGAGCTGGGGGCTCTCGTCGGCGCCGTCGCGACAGTCGGGGACGCCGTCGCAGAGGCGGGGAGGGGGCACGCAGGCGGGGGCGCAGGGCAGGTGGCCGGGGGCGCACGGGGGGGCGCAGGGCAGGTGGCCGGGGGCGCACGGGGGGGCGCAGCCTCCCTCGTCGCTGCCGTCGGGACAGTCGCTGTCGCCATCGCAGCGCCACCCCCGCGGGACGCAGCCGCCGCTGCGGCAGCGCAGGGACCGGGGCGGGCAGGGCGCGGCCGGGCCGTCGGCGGTGACGGGGACGGTGTCGGGGACAGTGACAGTAACGGTGTCGGGGACGGTGTCGGGGACGGTGTCGGTGTCGGGGACAGTGACAGTAAAGGTGTCGGGGACGGTGTCGGTGTCAGAGACGGTGTCGGGGACAGTGACAGTAACGGTGGCGGTGGCGGTGACGGGGACGATTTCGGTGTCGGGGACGGTGTCGGTGTCGGGGACGGTGTCGGTGTCGGGGACGGTGTCGGGGACAGTGACAGTAGCGGTGTCGGGGACGGTGTCGGTGGCGGGGACGATTTCGGTGTCGGGGACGGTGTCGGTGGCGGGGATGGTGTCGGGGATGGGGACAGTGTCGGTGACGGGGACGGTGACAGTAGCGGTGTCGAGGACGGTGTCGGCGACAGCGTCAGTGTCACTGACAGTGACAGTGCTCGCGACAGCGCCGATGGAGCTGCCGGTGACCGCGCTGACCGTGTCGGCGGTG